GGGGGGGGGGGGGGGGGGGGGGGGGGGATATGACCATTTTCGGTGAGCTGGAAGAGTTATTTCGAATTGTCACCATCATAATTCATTGCCTCATGTCCTCACCGCCGGATGCTCGGAATCTTTTGTAGTGAGTGCTCTCTACTTCATCGAAAAGTTTTTGAGAATTGTCTGCTGAGCCCGAGAATGTTGATGAAATTTTTCCAAAAGTAAACTGAAACGGATCTCCTCCCATAGCCTCTTATGGAATTATTCTAATGAAGAGCTCCAAAGAATCGTTGTCCGAATTCCACATCTCACTATTTTCTTATGTCGCGGCAACAGATCTCTGATTTCTTCTCGTAAATGTATGTGATCAATAATTTTGGTTAAGGTGATTCCAGCGTCGCACGTTTTCAACAGGATCATGTCACTTTTGGATGGAATACGGGTACAGATTCTGGTTGATTTTCTGCTCTGTTCTATCTAGTGTGGCTGAAGCGGTAGTATTTTCCAGCTCTCCTTGGATAGATCCGATATTCAGTACGAAATGAGGCAAGGTGTGCCGCAAGGATTTGAACTATCGTCTCGACTAGCTCACGTGAGTTTCTTGTTTTTCTCAGCTGTCACTACGGGAACATTGCATACAATGGAAGTTCAGTTGAACCCCTCATTGCTTTTGCTTCCATAATCGGCGGATAAATTGACAGCAATCTCTCAGAAGTCCGAGTGGTGCTCTACTCTTTTGGAGCCTTGTTTCATACTTTCTTTTCTTTTTTCGAAGAACTCCGCCCCAAAACTCGTCGAAAAGGAATTTGCTACATTCTCTAGTCAATCACATCTGTCTAAAGGTCGCACTCAGGGCTTTGGGATCCTTTAAGTTTCCTTATACTTAGCTCCCCTCCTATCCGGTGTCAAAATCAAGTATTGTAAAACACTCGCACTTCCTCCACACCGGATATGGAAGGCTACTCATCACGACTTCGAAAGCAGCACTATTAAAAGACACGCAAAAGAACAGTAGATGGGATCGTGACTGTGTGGTCAGTGGTAGCATGTTTTCCATCCTAAATGTTTTTACAACCCAACTAGTAATTAGTATGCCACATAGGAACTTATTATTATAAGCCATGATACAAGAATTTATTAAAGATAATCGTTCGGTTCGGCCGGAGTACTAACGAAGCACGGATACTTTATTCCTGTATCTTCTCAAGGCTTCATATAGTTTCCCCTCGTGAGAATCTGCCACCGTTTCTTAGCTGTTCGAGAACTTTCGTGGTTCTGGGATAACGTCGAAACTCTGCTGGAACTAGCTTTGCAAATTGAAGTCACATTCACATTCTACAAGTACAATCAACATTGAGCAGCAGGCAGTTTGATGGCAGTGCCAGCAGAATTTCACTTTTCGAATACTTTTTGCTGTTTGCTCCGATGTTGCCACTTTGTTTCTAATTTGAAAATGCCAACTTGTGGCCAAGGAAGCAGCAGCAGCTGACTGCGAAAAGTTCTTTTCTGATCCTTAGTATTTCAGATCTATCTCCTCTACTTTGAAAGCACATATTGGAAACAACTCTCAAGAAGAACATGTCTTTTACGCTATGTGGACGACTACTTAGTATGTTCATATTCGCGAGCCGAAGTGATGAGGGTAGGTTGTATCTGCTCACCTATTTATAGTTCGAGAAAAGCAGTATCTACAAATCAAACTAAAATCCAACATCGAAGAATTCTGCGGAGTAATGAGGTTGAATGTTGTACTGAGGGAAGTTAATGTTTCAGATATTGAGGACCCTGCAGACTCCAAACGAGTTTGGCGTNCAAGGAAGCAGCAGCAGCTGACTGCGAAAGCTTCTTTTCTGATCCTTAGTATTTCAGATCTATCTCCTCTACTTTGAAAGCACATATTGGAAACAACTCTCAAGAAGAACATGTCTTCTACGCTATGTAGACGACTACTTAGTATGTTCATATTCGCGAGCCGAAGTGATGAGGGTAGGTTGTATCTGCTTTACCTATTCATAGTTCGAGAAAAGCAGTAGCTACAAATCAAACTAAAATCCAACATCGAAGAATTCTAGGGAGTAATGAGGTTAAACGTTGTACTGAGAGAAGTTAATGTTTCAGATATTGAAGACCCTGCAGACTCCAAACGAGTTTGGCGTATCGATTAGGTTGAGCAAGTGTGAGGTGAGTCAAGGTATTCTTTTGACATAAAGTTCATACTGCCAGAATCGTCTTTCAAACGTGAGCACCGGTGTATATATCGAGTTAGGGCTGATGTCTGCATTCATAAAAACCACAAAGCTCAATTCTCATACAAGTATAGTTCGAGTTAGATTCTGCAAAAAAGGAATGGAAAGAATGGTGTCTCGGTTTCGTATAGTTCGAGTTAGATTCTGCAAAAAAGGAATGGAAATAATGGTGTCGGTTTCAGCCTCAGGCCCTGGCGACAGGACCGCTGATGGAGAAACCCCTCACAACAACAACTCCGAGTCCGAGTTTTGTGGACAAGGGGAGGGCTACAGAGGAGTGGGCGATCTCAGTCAAAATAATCAGTTTGAAATGGGAATCTAAACGTTGGATTTCATAGAGAAAGTCTCGAGATTAAATTCCATGTTCTCTCATCTTTGAACCTCGGCATGTCTGTTGTTCTTGAAATAGCTAGTTTTTGCTTCTGCCTCGAGGTTGGTAGGTGGAAATATTTATTCTGGCCGACTTTTCGATGGACTCGTCGTTTTCAAAGGCCTTACTTC